GCGCAGGCACCGCCGCCGTTTTCAGTGCACCGGCAGCGCTAGCACCTGCACGGCCTGGGGGCGCCGCGTCAGGAGCAGCTGTGTTCACAGAAAGGACCGCGGAAGGGAATGGACACCCCGTCGGTGACGGCTGTCTGGGGCAGCAGGATTCTGGGGGGACATTTCCCCATCTTTATGCTTTTTTAAAAAAATATATTTTATTGATTCTTTACAGAGAGGAAGGGAGAGGGATAGAGAGTTAGAAACATCGATGAGAGAGAAACATCGATCAGCTGCCTCCCGCACACCCCCTACTGGGGATGTGCCCGAAACCAAGGTACATGCCCTTGACCAGAATCGAACCCGGGACCCTTCAGTCCGCAGGCTGACACTCTATCCACCGAGTCAAACTGGCCAGGGCCTCTTTATGCTTTTTAATCTTTTCCCAAATTATCTACAGAGTGTGGATTACGTTTATGATCAGGAAAAAATCCAGTTTTCTGAAGTCCACACCCACCTGGCCACCCGGCCGCCTCGCCCCCGGGGCCGCACTCACCTTCACGGACTTTTTGAGCTTCTCCACGACCTGGCTCTGGATGGAGGGGTCGCAGAGGATGTAGTCGGGGGCCACACAGGTCTGGCCGCTGTTCATGAACTTGCCCCAGGCGATGCGCCTGCGAAAATCCCAGGTCAGACCGTATTCTCACCTCGGAGGCTGCCCGGCGCTGGCGCCCTGTCCCTTCGGCTCAGGGTCAGGACTCGGGCAGAGCGCGGGTGTGACTTCCAGCAGGGCCAGCCCTGGCTTCCAGATTCTGGGCTGAGGCACCCCCTGTCCCTGGACATGCCCCCAGGGCCCGGGTCCCTGCACATCTTTCCCTCATCGGCGAGTGCAGGGGGTTCTGGGGGTGTCTGGGCGGACAGCCTTTGTGCCCGCTGTCTCGCTCTTGAGCCCTGCCAGCCGGGGTCCCCACCTGGGAGGCGATGCATGTGGGAGGGGGAAGCTGGGCAGAGCCCCGGCTGGACCTCTCCTCTCCTGCCTTCCTGGGCTGGCGGCTCCCCCTCGGCCGCCCAAGCTCCAGCCCAGGCCTACCGGCCCTTAGGGCAGGGGCATGTCTGTGTCGCTCAGAGCGCAGCTGTGGTCCCCGGGAGCCGGCAGCAGTCAGAATGGCCGCTCCAGCTCAGGCGCTGAGCCCCTCACCGGCAGGCGATGTCCAGGTCACAGTCCTTGTCCACGTAGCAAGGGCTCTTCCCCCCCAGCTCCAGGGTGACCGGGGTCAGGTGCTTGGCCGCGGCCGTCATCACGATCTTGCCGACACCAGTGCTGCCCGTGTACAGGATGTGGTCGAACCTCTCCTTGAGCACCTCCGTGGTCTCGGGGACGCCCCCATTGATCACCGGGTACAGATCCTACCGAGCGGGAGGGAGGCGAGGCTCAGAAAGGACCCCAGCCCCTCCCCTGCCTGGGCAGCCACGGCCACTCAGGCCCCCACACACACATCGCTCAGCGCTCTGCCCCCCAGTGGCCGAGGCCAGTGGTCCCACCACCACCAGGGCTGCGCCTCTGGCTGCAAGCAGTCGCCATCTCTCACTCCCAAGGCCTGGCCCCCGCTCAGCTCTCTGTGCCGCACCTTGTCCAGGTACTGAGGGATGAGGGAGGCCAGCAGGCTCGCCATGTTCTCGCTCAGCTCCGAGGGCTTGATGACCACTGCATTCCCTGCAGAGCACACAGAGTCAGCCCCCCCACTCCCTCCCTCCAGGGCTCTCCCCACCAACCCCGCCCCAGGGACCCAGCCTGCTGCCTCCCTCCATCCCGTGTCCCAGGAGGAGTGGACAGCAGCGCTGCGGGCACTGGCCACAGGACCTGCGTCACCCGCCGCAGTGGATGAGGTGTGGGACAGAGGGAAAGAGCGGGGAGAGGTGCTCGGCCCAAGCAGTGCGCCGACTGGAAAGGAAAGCCTGGCTCAGCTCGGGGAGAGCTGCCAGCTCGGGGGCGGAGTAGGGGGGGAGGGGAGGGGG